TTTTTGAGACAGGATCTCACTTTGCTGTCCAGGCTGGAATACAGTGACACAGTCACAGCTGAGTGCAACCTCCACGTCTCAAGGCTCAGGTGATCCTCCTGCCTCAGCCCCCTAGTAACTGGGACCTTCAGGAGAGGACCATTATGCTCAGCTCTTTTTCGTATTTTTAGTAGAGATGGGGTTTTGCCGCGTTGCACAGACTGGTCTGGAATTCCTGGGATCAAGGGATACACCTGCCTCGGCCTCCCAAAGCGTTGGGATTATAGGCATGAGCCACCACGCCCGGCATGTTTCTGAATTTTAAATAAATTATACTTTATCAATCTTTTCCTTTATGGTTACTGCTTTCTGTGTCCTGTTTAAGAAATCAATGCCTAACCTAAGAAAATGAACACATTTTTCTGTGTTAACCTTATAGCAATTTTATTTTAGTTCATGCATTTTTTTTTTTTTCCAGACAAGTCCTCACATTATTGCCCAGGCTGGTGTGCAGTGGCATAATCTCAGCTCACTGCAACCTTCAACTCCTGGCTGAAGCAATCCTCCCACCTCAGCCTTTTGAATAGCTGCAACTATACGTGTGTGCCACCATTCCTGGCTAATTTTCGTATTTTTTGTAGAGATGGGGATTCAGCATTTTCCCAGATTGGTCTCAAACCCTTTGGCTCAAGTAGTCTACCTGCTTCAGCCTCCAAGGGTGCTGGGATTACAGGTGTGAGCCACCCCACCCAGCCATGATCCACCTTTTATTACATGGATGTGACTGCTTGATCCAGCACCATGTATTGAAAAGACCATCCTTGTCCTTCTGTACTGTATGTCAGTTCTTTTTATAAATTGGATGAGTCTGTTCATTTGATTTATGAAATTTGTGTGGGTCTGTTTCTGGGCCAACCTGGGCAACATAGTGAGACCTTGTCTCTAGAAAATATAATAAATTGGTCGGGCGCGGTGGCTCAAGCCTGTAATCCCAGCACTTTGGGAGGCCGAGGCGGGTTGATCACGAGGTCAAGAGATCGAGACCATCCTGGTGAACATGGTGAAACCCCGTCTCTACTAAAAATACAAAAAATTAACTGGGCATGGTGGCACGTGCCTGTAATCCCAGCTACTCAGGAGGCTGAGGAAGGAGAATTGCCTGAACCCAGGAGGCGGAGGTTGCGGTGAGCCAAGATCAGGCCATTGCACTCTAGCCTGGCTAACAAGAACGAAACTCCGTCTCAAAAAAAAAAGAAAAGAAAAGAAAAGAAAATATAATAAATTATAAATACATAAATTTTTTTTTAAAAAAGTGGTTAGAGCAGATGGAGTCATAGGTGGTAATTTATAAATAATTGTCAATTTCTTGGCTACATACAGGTGTTGGTAAGTCAGATCTGTTGGGTGTTCAAGCAAAACGTATTAAGTGAGTTATATGGTGTTCAGAATGATTGCTAGATGTTCATTGTCACTTGAATTAGATGTTATTTGGGCCTCACAGAGCTACAGTTTTGACTCTTTTATTTATTTGCCTTTTTAAAAATTTTGCAATCTTCCTGTCAAGGCAGTAACTCATTTATACTTAATCGTTCTTAAGTATACTTAATTACCAGGAAAACTTTATGGATCAAACCTAAATAAGTGTTTAGCCATTTAAAGGGCTGATGTGATGTGATGTAGACAATAGTATTCTATATAATAGTTTCAGGACTACAGCTGTTAAATTGTTTGTTTGTTTGTTTGTTTGTTTTTCTTGAGACAGGGACTCGCCCTGTCGCCCAGGATGGAGTGCAGTGGTGCAGTGGTATGATCATGGCTCACTGCAGCTTTGACCTCACAGGCTCAAGCAGCCTCCCACCTCAGCCTCCTTAGTAGCTGGGACTACAGGCGTGTACCACCATGCCAGGCTAATTTTTCCTTGTTTGTATACATGGTCTTCCTACGGTGCCCAGACTGGTTTCAAAATTCTGGGCTCAAATAATCCTCCCATCTTGGCATCCCAAAATGTTGGGATTACAGACATAAGCCATCACACCTGGCCATTTTAGATTTAATAATTTTTACATTTTTCTAATTTCAAATATTTCCTAAAATCTATTATTTATGAATATAGTATTCGTTATTATTACTATTATTTTGTATGTGTTTAATGTCATTTTCAACATAAGCTCTTGGAAATTAGAGAACTTGTCTCTTATTCTTGACTGTATTCTCAATACTTGACCTTGCCTGGTATGAAACCGATATTGATTAAATATTTGTTCAATGAATGAATGAATGAACATACTCGTACCACATTGAACAATTCTCCCAGTATCACAGCTTTCACCATCTAACAAATAAAATAGCTTGTATAGAGCAGAGCCGCCGTCAACCTGCCATAAAAGGAAATGTCAGTGAAAATGAACCCTTTTATGTGTAGAACTAGAGTTGGTTGGGTTTCTGTCACATGCAATCAGCTGACCTGACCAGCCTGGGCAATATAATAAGACCCTGTCTCTGAAAATAAAAAATTAGCTGAGCATGGTGGTGCATACTTGTAGTCTCAGCTACTCTGGAGGCTGAGGCAGGAGGACTCCTTGAGCCTTGAGTTAGAGGTTACAGTGAGCTATGATGGCAGCACGACACTCCAACCTAGGGAGTGGGAAAAGAGTCCTGACCGATGACTTGAGTCACCAGAGAAAGTGCTTACTTTTCACAAAGTACTATTTGAGGCAGATCTCAGTGAACAGGAATTCCATGCTTTCTGTTAGGAGGAGAGTATGGGTGTAGTTAGTTAACGCTGATTGAACTATCTTTGGAATCTCATCTACTGGTGTATCTGGTCTATTTATATATGTATATTCTATCTGCTGTCTCACTGAGCTTTGCTAGTTTATGCTGCAGTAACAAAAGCCCCAAAGTCTCACCAGTAGATGAGATTCTGAGAAGTCATCACTGAACCCAAAGTCACCCAGATTTTCCCCGATGTTATCATCTAGGAGTCTTTCCGTTTTGCACCTAACATTCAGGTGTAAGATCCATTTTGTGAAAGGTGTAAAATCCGTGCCTAGATTTATTTATTTTTCACATGTGGATGTCTAGTCATTGTAGCATCATTTGTTGAAAAGACTGTCCTTTCCCTGTTAAATTGCCTTTGTGCCTTTCTCAAAGATCAGTTGACTATTTATGTAGGTCTGTTTCTGAGCTCTGTATTGTTTTCTAGTGACTATTTGTTTTTTCTTTCTTCACCAATTTCCACCCTGTTTGGTTACTGTATCTTTATAATTAGTACTGAAGTCGGCAGTGTCCGTTCTCTGGGGATTTTTCTGATCTTTACAGTGAGGACCTGGTGGGCTCCTGGTGGTAACACTTAGAAAAGTATGAGATCCCCACTAAATCTGAGCCCCAAGAAGTTTATAATGCTCAAGCCAGGCCACCCTCAGCTTCTAGTGATGTGTGAGTACCATTTAAGTGCTCCTCCCAGTTGCTGGCTTCAGCAACTTCTGTTCCCTGTATTTGCCTGTGTGTCTTGTTTTCAGCATGGCGATTTGCCCTGTGACCTCTCCTCTAGTCCCTCTAATAAGGGTTGATAATCTTCAGTTTGTTCAGCTTTTTTCTTGTTGTGAGGACAAGTGGTGACCTCCTAGCTCCTTACAAGTTGGAGTAGCAACCAGAAATATCATTTAACAAGTTAGTCGTAATAAAAGTCACTAATCGTAAATGTAGAACATAATAATTTAAGTAGACATATAGAATTTTGTAGCCAGCACCTCAGTTCCCTCTTAGAATACATTTCTTCCCTCCCCATATTCCCCAGAGCCTCTTTGCAGTCATTTTCCAATCCCTGGTCACCACGACGGAGCCTGAACAAAATAAACATTTGGAAAACAGACAACGTTACATTTCAGCTTTTATTAGATTGGAATTTTATATAATGGACCATT